GTTTTAGTAACGCAGTAACGCAGCGTTCCTACGTGAAAGTAACGGTAATCTAATTACCGTTTTTGCAATAGTAATCCCTTACTTTACTCGTTACTTGCAAAAAGTAATCAGATTACCCATCTCTGGTCATGACTGAGCGCAGAATTTACACTCCAACATTTACACTGTGTAGAGGCTGAAAACCCCCATCATGCTGTATTTGGATGTTTACATGCTGTAGTCATGTAACATTAATATATCTGACAGTAATCACATTTTCCGCTCTCTCTGCGTCTCCATAGCCCAGTGGTGCGTTCCCTGAAGGAAACGGGGAGTGTGGAGCCGGAGCTGTTTGAGGAGGTCACCATCTATTTCAGTGATATTGTGGGATTCACCACCCTCTGCTACTACAGCACCCCCATGGAGGTGGTCGATATGCTCAACGAAATCTACAAGAACTTTGACAGCATTCTTGATCACCATGATGTCTACAAGGTAGCTTAGCAGGATAACAGAAACCCAGGCCTCTACTATCAAGGAGGTCACAATTTCTTTAAGCATTAATCTACAATTTCTAAGAAAGTGCTTAGGGATAGACATAAATATTTTCTTTTTGAATAAAGACAAAGATTTTATAGATAAGTTACATTTCCACTGTCTCGTAGGTTGAAACAATAGGAGATGCTTACATGGTTGCATCCGGTTTGCCCAAACGTAACGGCAACAGGCATGCATTGGACATTGCCCACATGGCCCTGGACATCCTATCATTTGTGGGGACGTTTGAGCTGGAGCACCTGCCTGGGATTCCTCTATGGATCCGTATTGGTGTACATTCAGGTACCAGAGATTCACAATGATTTTACTATGTTATCATCTGAATTTTGCAAAAGTTGGGATGCTGTGTAAAATCTAAATAAAGACAGAGTTCAATGATCTACAAACTTCATAAAGCCACAAATGATGCTCACAACAGAGAATAAAAAATACATCAAATGTTTAAATTGAATAAATGTAACATTTTATGAAATCTCCTGGCAACTGTTGGTTAACAGCAGCAACATAGGTGATGGGACAACAAAAAGCTGGAAAAAAGAGGAGAAAATATAAAATGTCTTACCAGTAAAGATTGGCAGAGGTTCACAGATCTGCAAAGATTTTGTGTCTCAAAATTATGGAACAATTTTATAATAATGGTCCTCAAAGTGACTGAAAATCAATACAAAGATACTTTTGATCTTCGGACTCTCAGGCAGCGCTGCACTAAACACAGACATGATTCTGTCACTGCATGGGCTCAGCAACACTTCCAAAAATCATTGTCTGTGAGCACAGCCGACCGTGCCATCTACAAATACAAACTCTATCATGTAAAAAGGAAGCCAAACGTCAACATGATGCAGGAACACTTCTGTCTATGCTAAGCCAAAACTCATTTAA